CAACTTTTGATTGCCTATTTAAGTAGTCTGCTTATTACTAAGTTCTACACTAGATGCCATACCTATAACCCAACTAGTGAGTTATCTATTTAAACCCTCTGCGCTATAATTCTAACTTTAACGAATGTTTAATTTATCATTGTTCTTAACGAATATTTAATTTATCATTGTTCTTAAAGAACGTTTAATTTATCATTATTCTTAATGAACGTTTAATTTATCTTTATCATGTAACTAGAGCAAACCATATCACATCATAATATTATACGACTTATAATACTATTAGTTATTTTATAAAATTATTTTCAACAGCTGAATATATAAGTTATGTTATGGGTAAATTGGTTTTTAGATCAAGTTAAACTTGACCTGAGTCAAATTGATCAATTAAAAAACCTAGTTAGCACCAATACAATTCTGGCCCACCCTAATCCTAAAATTCTGCTAAAGATCAATTTGACCTGAATCAAGTTTAACTTGACCTAAAAACCAATTTGACTCGTAACATATATACTAGTTCATCAGAATATTTTAATTTATTGCTAATTGCTCTTTGTACGTATATATAAGCTGAACTGCTACACTTAAATTTCTGCCAACTATCAGCCTAAGTGTTGGCCAACTAGACCAACTTTCTTTTACTAGACTTTTAAACTAAAATATTGAACGTATAAATTCTAATTAGAATATATATGTCTAATTCCAATTCAAATTACTGGACTTGTAAAGGTGATAACTCTATATAAGCGATAAATTAGTAGGTAGATTAGTATAGTATATAAAAATGGTCTCAAAAGTAAGTTTATAAAGATTAAATATATAATTAGGCCAGAGTTTAAATATGCATTTAGAGGGTTTTACATTTAAAGAGAATGTATTTAGAGTAGTTTCTCTTCATATAGTATAAGATACATTATAACAAATTTAAAAACTTTATAATACTAGATTTAACTTAAATTTAATAGATTCACAATTATCCTTTAAACTGTATATTTAAGCGTACAAATTTGTATGCTTAAATTTTTAGAAGAAAATTGTGCTCTAAAAAAAATTTTTTTAACAAACCTCTATTCTAATTGGTTATGGTAACTTTCAGAAACTCAAGTTACATGACATACTTCACAGTTATGGCATGAGACACTTCAGGTGATCTAAACAAAAAGCAAAACTTCACCTGATGACCGTGAAGTATGCTTTGCGGCCCAAACTTTGAGCTGCCATATCTCTATAGCATTGTCTCAAAAACCAATAATATAAAATTGATCATGAAGAATCTTTGATCAACTTTAATATTGTATTATGAAAGAAACTTGTGTATGACGATTGTAAAGAATTTTTATAAGTGTCACATGCAGTTTCTTTTTTAGTATTAAATTTGGACATCAAAGTTCTATTACGATCCTATTATGATCCGCGTTAGATACCTAATTTTGAAACATTATAAAAGTTTTTTTATAAAATAGATAATATATAGCATTTAACATGTGAAATGCTTTTATTTTAGCTTAGAAAGTGGGGGGTAAGGCTTAATAAAATTTTGAGTAATAGGTCTTCAAAAATTTAAGCGTACAAATATGTATGCTTTACGGTTTAAGCGATAAGCATTACAAGTGCAAATAAATGAATTGAAAACATGTTAGCTACAACAATCATTAAACTATAAAATACATGTTGACCTATTAATAATTTTCCTTATTAATAGTATCAGCCTTAAATTGAGTACATCTGCAAATATTATGACCTTTAACTAAACAATAGCTGCATGTTCTCTGTTCATGATTAGATTGCTACTTAGCATTTTCCTTATTTTCTTCAACAAATGATTTCAACCAGTTTGGAGGCGACCTCTTGGCTTGTAATATTCTGAATTAGAAATATTGACAATATTATAGCTAGAACTTATATCAGTTAGAGGGTGCCGATTATTAGATTCAATATTACTAGCAGAAGCATTTGTTTCAATATTAGTATTGTCAATTTGTATACTACAGGTTTCTTGCATGTCCAGACCAGTATTATACTGGTATTTTATAATAAATTGGGTTAAAATTCTAGTTAATTCAGCAGCAACGCCTTCAGCAACTGCAATTTAAATACTAGTCTTGGCAATTGATATTGTAGTACCAAATTGAACCTTTTTATCAACATTTTCTTTAAGGGCTGGTATGTATATATTAGCAGTTCGAATTTGATTAATATGATGCAATAGTAATAGTGCAAGTGTAAAATTGCTGGTTTCTTGAAATATTGTAACATGTTTATTCATATTTAACAGAATTGATTTAAATCACTACGTATAAATAAGCTCCAAATAAAAAACAGCTATAGAGAATTGAATAAAAATTCAATATTGATGATGACATAGTATTCCCAAATTTATTATCTGCATACATGTACAAAGTAACATTGAATCTTTAAGAATCACAACATAGTGTGATTTTGATGCCGAAGTAATTGCAATATAAACAACCTTCCAAATTTCTTGCACCTCACTACTTGATATACTTGACAAAAGATCCTTTAATTGAATTTGAGATACATCATAAAGTTGTTTAATTGTACTATCAACTTCAATATCAGACTCCTTAACCTATTTAGTATCTGTTACATTTAATTGATAAAATACAAATTAAATTTAATACTTGCCTGTTTAATTGTAACCAATATTCTTTGATATAAAAATGACTAGCTCATTTGAGCTCATTGAAGTGAAAGAGGAACAGGTATTAAATATTCTACTAATACCGAATTAATAGTATTAAAAATGATATTGTAAGTAGAAGACAGGTCAGACGATAGGTTTGATCCATAATAGTCTCTTATACAATTATAATTAGCTTCTTTTTCCAATTCTTGTTCAATTCTTTTACTAGTTCCTTCAACAAAGTACCTTGATTAACGTGTTTGTTAAGAACACTATTTACTGATTCTACTCTTTGTATTGATTCAGTACCAGCTATAAACAACTTTAAAATGGCATATCTTACCCAGGATTCATGGCACAGATAAGTTTTGTTTCAAGATAGAAGCGACAGAATTCATATTTTTCGAGCATATACTTGTATTTTAATTCAAATTATTCTTGAGTGAAACTATTTCTCATACTGTAAAAATCGTCAATAAAAGTTTTAGCCACATCACCACGTAGCTTCGATTTGGCTTTTTTTTTTATATTTTCATCAATATAGTAGATGCATAATAAATGTTTTGTTTGTAGATATACAACTTGTATAGCCATGATTATTGCTAGATCTCTATCACTAAACAAAGTACAGAAAACAGGTTATTGGTTGCTTCTAATGTATACTGCAAGATCTAATCATAATTGGCTTATGTTTCATATTTTGTTAATGCCTGAGCAAGGATTCGTGATTTAAAATTATTATCTATACCAATAAATAGGCTAAGAGCCATTTCATACTGGTTTGTCTTCGCTGTGTTATCATAGATGATAACATTGTGAAACTTGGGCCAGAGTTGATTTCTTTGTTGACCACTCATCCAAAACAAACTAGTTAATTCATTTGATTTACCCTCTAAATATGGAATAACCACATATTCAGGATCCTGTTCTTTCAAATTAAGAAGATGCTGCAATATCATAGCAATATCAGATTTATCATGAACTCTTATACCTTAAAATTTGCCAATAGCATTATATAGATTCTTTTTTTTAATTTGATGTTGAGGAAATTCTTTTACAAGTAAATCATATTGTTGATCAGCATTTAACTGCCAATGGTAGTATAACACTCTATCTTATCTAAATTTTTTTAAAAAAATTTTAAATACTTTGGAGCTAGTTCTATAGTCTCTACATCACATATATAATTATATTTATTTGCTATGTTAGTTAAAGCTATAAGATTCATATATTTACTAAGATAAAAACTAACTAGCCATCGACAATTTGTTTTATGAGAAACTCCATCATGATGTGTACTAATATCCTCTACTTTTATTAGTTTGTTCACACCAGATTTCCAATAAGCATAATCACAGTGTTGGATAATAAATTTATCAACTAGATTGAGATCTTTACGATACTTAATAGCCACAAAACTATGTTGCTTTGAGTATACATCAACTGCACTTTGTTCAGTGTTCCAATCATTAAAAAGACTCCCTACTCGTAGTATTAATTCATTAGCATTTACAAACAAATTACTATTCATCTCCAAATTTTTAAAGTCAGGTAAATTATTGTTTTCTTCAAATTCCTCAGGATCAGACAACTCAGAATTCATAGAACCCGGCAACTCGGAATTCATAGAACTAGACAACTCTAGATTTGTAGAATCAGGAACTCCAAATTCGTAGAACCAGGCAATTCCAAATTTGTAAAACCAGGAAACTCCAAATTTGTAGAACCAGACAATTCCAAATTTGTAGAACTAGACAATTCAAAATTTGTAGAACTAGGCAACTCCAAATTCGTAGAACCAGGCAACTCCAATTTTGTATGACCAGACAACTCAATATCTGTATGACCAGATAACTTAATATCCATATGACCAGGCAACTCAATATTCACAGAACCAGACAATTTATAACTTGCAGGACCAGACAATCCATAGTTCACAAGACCAGACAATTCATAGTTTGCAAGACCAGATAATCTATAGTTCACAGAACCAAACAATCTATAGTTCAAAGGATTAGATAACTCATGATTCAAAAAATCAGATAACTCTTGGTTCAAAGACTCAGATGACTCATAGTTCAAAGAACCAGACAACCCACAGTTCAAAGAACCAGACAACTTATGGTTTGCAGGACCAGACAATTCATAGTTCACAGGGCCAGACAATTCATAGTTCACAGGATCAGACAATCTATAGTTTGAAGGACCAGACATTCTATAGTTCAAAGAATCAGATGACTCATAGTTCAAAGAATCAGATGACTTATAGTTTAAAAAATCAGACAACCTATAGTTCGAAGAACCAGACAACCTATAGTTTGACGAACCAGACAACCTATAGTTTAAAGAACCAGACAACTCAAAGTTTGAAGAACTAGACAACTCATAGTTCGCAAGACCAGACAATTCACAATTCACAAGACTAGACAGCTCAAAGCTATTAACATCCAAAATAGTTCCAAATTCAAAATTAACAATACCAGAAGAAAGATTTTCTACTTCATAATTTGTAAAACCAGGAAAGTTCTTCCTAAATCCAGTAGATATTACTTGTTTCCATTTTTTACTTTATAACTATGTTGAAGATATAATGAAAGAAAATTCTACTTAGTACCTTTTCACAAAAGAATCACTTAAGCAAGTTATAAAATAGCGTCTTGGGATCTTTTTTTTTTAAAATTCACAATATTTAATAACTAACTTATAGTATACAATAAAAGAGACATGAGGCAAAAGAGACAGTAGCCACTAGATTGTTGCAACTCTAAAAGTTTAATATTTGCCCTTTTATTTCATTAGGAATTAATGACAAATCACAACCTACCCACAATGTAATGAGAGACAAAAGTCAGATTAGAGTAGTTAAGAGTAGTTGCAAGTTACTGTAAAAAAAATACTTTGTTATTGTAATTTGATTTTACTATCATTGTATTACGTGATACAAGTTACTAGGTTTTACATAATACTGGTGACAATCACCAGTAGTAATAAATAGTAAATTTCTATTATTAATATATAATAATAATATAATTATAATATTTTTAAATTAGTAATATATTAATTATATTTTTACTATATATTAATTATATTATTAATATATAATTATTATATTTTATTAACATATATTAAATATATAGTTATAACAGACTTAATATAAGATTTTAAATTATCTAAATAATATAATAATAATATTAAAATTATTAAAAAACAATATAATATTTTTATTATATAACTAATATACTATATATATATTATAATAATATATTAAAAATATTTTACAAAATTAAAAAATTCTGTAAAATAATTGCTACAAAAACAAGAGCTTTGCAGTCATGCAGACTGGCTTTGCTCACCAATATATTTTACTGAGCAAACTAGCTGCCAAGTACTAGCTTATTGTTAACTCACTGTATAGAAGTGATAATAGAGCTATCTTCTTGCAAGGTGAATGATAGCAAATTGAAAGACTATCTCTCTTTATGCCTTTAAATATATTGCATTCACAAACACTTTTGCCTTCTGCTTTTAGCTGTTACTAATTAACTAACAGTTATATATCAGCTTGTCACAATCATATGCAATCATAATCTAATTAAAAAACCTAAGACAATGTAGCAATCATTACAAAAACAGCCTATAAAAAGCTAAAATGACAAATTAGTAGTCATGTGTGAGAAAACTAATCTTCAAAATTAGTGTCATGAGAAAATTGTGATTTGCACAAACATATAATCCAATTAGCTTTGAGATTTTGTCTTCGATTTAGATGCCAGTAAAACCATATACTTACATTTCTAATAATATGATGAATTAGCACATCACAGGGTACTATATATATATTTATTCATAATATAATAGTAATAAAATATAATATAATATAAAAAAATAAAGAAAAGAAGAAAAATATCAAAATTTAATAAAATTTTGTGAGGTTACATCACTCTTCTCTTTAGCTTCAAACTCCTGGTTAAAGTCTCAAATTTATTAATACTGACAAAGTTTAACTATAATTAACTTTGTAAATATTTTGCTTCAAGTAAAAGAATATATGTATTTAAGAATATTGAGGGTAATATCTTTAACAGTATATAAAAAATAATGACTTTGAGAATTAAAAAGTTGATAGACTCTGTTAGCAATTTTTCAAATATTATGAGCATGATGAAAAGCAAAGTAGGAATAGAGTTCTTGATGATAAGATGAATTCAACTATAGTTTTCAAGTAAGAGACCAAGATAATAAAAGTTTCAAGAGTAGTACTATTAGAAGAAGTTTGTTTTTGTAGTTGTGTAATGAAACCACAGATATATACAAGTTTTTGTTAAAAGTTTGTACTATAAATATAAAGATTAATATTAATATTTTGAGATTCTTCTCTGTTTAAGTTTATTAAATAAATATATATTTGGTTATAAATTTTTTGAGCCTCTGATTCAATAGATATTAATTTAATTGTAAATTGTTG